TAATTATCTCTCACCAAAACGGATCAATTAAGATTTCTACATGTAGGTGTAAAAAACCATTCCAGGAGGGGGGATCCTGAATCACCCAAAATCATGGCATCAAGGCCTCCATTCTTGTTCCATACGCCCAAAAAGGTTACTATTTCTTAAAACCGTGCTGTCATGAAAACTGCCTGGTCATGAAGGATTTACATAATAACATACACAATCAGGACCACATACAATTTAGCGACCGATTTCCGTGACGATCGACAAAGTTGGATTCATACTCATGAGTTTTTTTCAGTATTTAAAAGGTTCCATCAATACATCCTATGACACCGGGCATGCGAGCGTCATTCTGAAAGCGGTTCACATCCACAACGTTGTCAGTCCACTTGACAATTACATGAAACAATGCTTCATCCACTGTTGTCGCAAATGATCGCACAGCTCATGAGACGCTTTAGACACAACATGAATGTCTCCTACAGTGTTGGGCAAAACTTAGTCATGTCTAATGATTAATGATTGATCACTCAGACCGTTAGTCATGATTGGTAGTAAGTGACTAATTTAGTCATTAGTCGCCATATGTGATTGATGGCTAAATTAATCATGACTAGTAATTAAATACGAGGCATGACTAATTTAGTCACAATATAGTTAGTCATGACTAAATTTCGATAAATCATGTTCAAATGGGTGATCAAAAAATGAAAAATACACTTCATCACTTTTAAAACATTTTCTAACAGAAATTGATTTCATTAAAACGAAAATCCTTCAACACCTTATTTTAAAAAAATCAATCTTCCAATTATAAGAGTAAAACTCCGTCGTTATGAGAAGCCAAAAAATAATGATAATAATAATAATAATAATAAAATAAAATTAAAAAATCCTAGAACAAGCTACGCTTTGAAAAGTAAATGTGTTTACATAACCAATCAATGGAAAAAATATTCTTTGAATTAAAATTTATTCCACTTAAAAGGAGAGATTTCTACATTATTTGGAAAATACACCCCTTCTCATCTCAAAATTTTTATCCGGAGTCGGTTGGATTTTGGTAAGTTGGTCATTGTAGCCAGAGTTTAGCNGGAATTGGTTGAGATAAAGATTAACTAAAATAAACATTAATTGTCTTTATCGTTTACATTCTGGCCAAAGGGTTGAAGAAAAAAAGTCATTAAACAATGGTGCAATCGGATTTTAAATTGGTCAAAAAATGACAAAGTTATGGCAAGACGTTAAAAAAACGCATTTCGTTAGTTTCATAATTCCAATAATACGCTTCTTCACTAAAATAAACCAATTACAGTTCGTGGTCCGATTGACCAATTCACTTTTTTCAATTAATTAATCTTTATGAAAGGTATTGGTTGAGATAAAAATTAACTAAAATAAACATTAATTGTCTTTATCGTTTACATTCTGGCCAAAGGGTTGAAGAAAAAAAGTCATTAAACAAGGGTGCAATCGGATTTTAAATTGGACAAAAAACGACAAAGTTATGGCAAAAAGAAACCGGCAGCGTAATTTCGACGTGTAACTGGATATTTTGCTGTACGTTCGCGAAACACCGAATTCCTCTCTCCGAAATTTTGGAAGGATTTTAGGTTTTTCAAAAAATAAAATTAGAGCTGTACTCCGGATTGCAATTTTAAGCCGTATCGCTCTCATGTTTTCCAGGGGCTTCGGGACTTTGAGTATGACAGACGTCGTTGCTCGCACAAATGTCCATTTGGGAGGCTGAAGGTTCTTCCATACATCCTATGGACTGATGAATCCAAATTCAACTAAAGATGGAAAAGAAAAAGAAGTAAGAAATCCTTTAAAATTACGCGTCAGGATGTATAGAGTAGTATTTGAAGTGTTGAAATTGAACTAGATCTGAAGTACCCAGTATAATTTTTCTCCAAAAAAGTAAAAATTTGAAACTAGACTAAAAAATATTAAACACGTATTTTTTTAATAGACTTATTGGTTCAAAAGAAATTCAGCCGAGCCATCTAAAAAGGTCACCCTGTATAGCATAAGCGAATGTTTCATTAGATCAACAGTAATATAACAGAAGATAAAAATTAAGTATTTTTAACTAACTTAATTTCGAACTTTTTAATAATTTTTTATCAGCTTTTGCTTAATTGTATAATTATTCAATTAATTATACAAAATTTTTTCGAAATGAAAAATTTATGTCACAGGCGGGATTCGAACCCACGACTTTCGGTTAAATACTAACTTTAGTACAATCGTTAATAAAAATTTTTTCTATATGAAGCCGCGTTTTGCTTAAAATTGGAATAAAAGCGGCGTATTTAGCCGAAAGTCGTCGGTTCGAATCCCGCCTGTGACACAAACTTTTCGTTAATTAATCTTTATGAATGGAATACCTTTCATAAAGATTAACTAAAATAAACATTAATTGTCTTTAATGTTTACATTCTGGCCAAAGGGTTGAAAAAAAGTCATTAAACAATGGTGCAATCGGATTTTAAATTGGTCAAAAAATGACAAAGTTATGGCAAGACGTTTGAAAAAACGCATTTCGTTAGTTTCGTAATTCCAATAATTTGCTTCTTCACTAAAATAAACATTAATTGTCTTTATTGTTTACATTCTGGCCAAAGGGTTGAAAAAAATGTCATTAAACAATGGTGCAATCGGATTTTAAATTGGTCAAAAAATGACAAAGTTGTGGCAAAAGTTCATACAGGGTAGTGCAGGTCCAGTTCAATTTCAAAACTTCAAATACAACTTCATACATTCTGAAGCAAAATTTTAAAGGATTTCTTACGCTGAAAACAATGGTGCAATCGGATTTTAAATTGGACAAAAAATGACAAAGTTGTGGCATAAAAAAACCGGCAGCGTACCTTTGGTCAACGTTTGGTGTGGACCTCTCGGAAATAAATTAATTTGGCCTTATTTACGAAAATAATTTAAACGGTGTTCAGTTGCTCAATTTTTTGAGGTAGGTTTTACCAACAGTATGAGGTGATGTTCCTCTGCAACAACTACAAAGAATGATTCTACAGCTTGATAGATGCCCCGCACACAATTCTTTGCAGGTGAGACGTTATTTGAACCTTCACTTCCAGGATAGGAGGATGGGACCTCATGTTAATTAATCTTTATGAATGGAATACCTTTCGTAAAGATTAACTAAAATAAACATTAATTGTCTTTATGGTTTACATTCTGGCCAAAGGGTTGAAAAAAAGTCCTGTCATCCTGTCATCCGATTTACCTCCATTTGACTATTTTCTGTGGGGCCAATCATTGCCCAGCAACCTCGGCGATGGATAGAAAATGCTGGTCAATCCACCTCCTCCGACTCTACCGCTCTGAGCCCCGGTGAAGAGTGTTAAAAAAATCAAATCTTTCTATCTTTACGCAAGGCAGGCAGTTCGAACATAAAACATCATTAATAAATAGCAAACCAAATGAAATTTTTGCCACAACTTTGCCTTTTTTTGACCAATTTAAAATCCGTTTGCACCATTGTTTCATAACTGCTTTTTTCCAAACCTTTTACCAAAATGTTATCAATAAACACAATTAATGTTTATTTTAGTAAAGACGCAAATTATTCGAATTACGAAACTAGCGATTTACTAGATTAACTAACAATTTAAATTCCGGTTGACCATTGTTTTCAGAGTACAATTTTTTGCAAATTTGAAGTTGAACTGGGCCTAAGATACCCTGTTTAATTTTTCTCCAAAAAAACAAAAATTTGAACCTAGACTAAAAAATACTACACACGAATTTTTTTGTAGCGTCATTGGTTCAAGAGAAATTCAGCCGGGCCATCCAAAACGTCACCCGGTATGTGTAATGATAGTTTGGGCATATCCCATCATTTTGGTCTGTAAGATGCGTTTAGCTTCTCGCAATCATCAGTGCAAGAACAGTGTGATTTACTCGTACTCACCCCAAACACAATCTTTGCTACAAAATTGACCATAAGAAATGACATAAAGATTCTAGAAATTTAATTTAATTTTCAATAGTCCGCCTACATTGGCTTACATTATTCAAGAAGTTGCTGGTTGCATTTGGGAAATTGTAATACATTATGTGTTAAAATCGTGTAAATACAAAATAGTTTTAATTGATGAAGGGAATCTACCCATTACTGAAGATGGTGTGAAGCTTGTCATACAGACCAGCCCAATGACAAGGTGGATAGTTATATCGAATTGACAGGAAACTGGTTATCACGAGCAGGAAATTTCACAAATATTGCGTTCGATCTTGTCATCCCAAATAAAGGCTCTGGGACTTGGAGATCCTCTGACCAATTCCTATGCTCATTACTCAAAGGTACAGAATTTACTCAAGAAATACGTCCCATCAACTCTTGTGCCTTAGAAAGTCTTAAAAGAAGTTACACTGGCAAAAAAATCCATATAAGATCTGATAGCGAAGCAGCCATTAAAGCATGAACACGTAATAAAATAACATTAAAATTGGTCAGTTAATGCATCCAAAATCACTAAAACCTGGGGATATAGAACATGATGGTATGTTGGGTACCAGGGAAGAGAAGGATATTGGGTAACGAGAAAGCACACTGGTCAGAGGAGGATCTGCAAGATCATATACACTCCCAGAACCTATACTTGGGATATCAAGAACAATTAAAAAATACGGATCACACAGGCAGGAAATTTCTCAACAATTGCGTTTGATCTTGTCACCCAAATACAGGTTCTGGGACTTGGATATCCTCCGATCAATTCCTATGTTCATTACTGAAAAGTACGTTAATTTGAAATTAAAAAAGGGTTAATTTGACAGAAGAATAGTTCCAAAGTAGAGCTTATGCTTTAAAAAAAAGTTTGAGTTATTTTTTCTAGCTTGAGTAGGTTTGAGAAACCAGACTGCCGCGCGAGTATGTTGTGGGCACCCGGTAAAATATTTTAAGTTAGATTCTAGACATCAAGGAGATTTCAGAAGAAAATGTATAAAAATAGGTATAAATGACTAAATAAGTTTTTTTTTTTAAGTTTCATTTTATTGTAATAAGTACATTTCAAGAAACACAAAATAATTATTGAATAAAACTGTAAGACAACAAAATACAAATCGGCCATTAAACAAAATTTATGGAAAGTCAGCTATTTTGTTCTTTCATTTTCTATATCAACATTCCTGTTCAACTTAACTTTCTTGACAATTGAAGCTCGGTTCTTTTTCCAAAAGCATTAAGCTGTTAAACTGACAAAGCTTTTACATATACCGTTGAACAGGATTGTTGTTGACATGTCATTTGAGATCACCAGTGTATAATAAACATGTTTTTGACAAACATCGGCATTCGCAATATATTTTACAAAATTAAAAACTTGCATACATTAACTTTAAGTTGTGGTTAAAAAATATAAAACATTAAGTACAAAGTGTGATTCAGTAGGTACAATTTAAAAAGCTAGAAACAGTTACAGTATTACACAAAATGGTTCAACTGTAAATATTTGTTATAGCAAGAATTTGTTTAATTAACGATGTACAATAAGATAAAAATAAAAATAAAACAGGGGTTGTCAAAAGATGTAATATAACTTAAAAAAATGTAGTATGTAGGTTTTTCTTAATTTTAAAAGGCCTTCTTAGAAAACAGTTACTTCTAATAAAATCGAATTTATAGAAAAAAATGAGTAGAAATATTTAAAAAAAGTTGCATATAAAATGTTATAAAAAGTGTAAAACCGTGAACAATTAAAAGGACGACGTTAAAAAGCAGTCGGTCTCTTTTAGTTACCATCTTCACCTGAAACAATTCCAATTTTATATGAGCGACGTTATTAAACAGCGTTGAGTTTTAAATACTATGTAAGCTTTCTACGGGTCAGAAATTCCAGGGCCGACGGTAGGACCCGAACCCAAGATCCCGGTTTAAAGGTTGAATAAAGTATTATGCCATAGAGTATCGTCCATGATAACGAAAACTCCTTTTTACATGCCATCAAAGCTTGTGCCCTAGAAAGTCTTAAAAGAGGTTAAAATGGCAAAAATCCACATAAGATCTGATCGCCAGGCAGCCATTAAAGGATTAGCATGTAAAAAAAATCACATCAAAATTGGTCATTGAATGCATCCAAAATCTCCAAAACCTGGGGAAACACAACCTGATGATATCTTGAGTACCAGGAGACAGGATGTTGGGTAACGAGAAAGCACACTGACCAGAGGAGGATCTGCAAGACCATACTAGGCCCCGAACCTATACTTGGGATAACAAAAATAAATATAGAATCCTCCATTGCTAAATGGATCCAAACAAAACAAAATGAGAAGTGGATAAACTTCAGCGGCGCTAGACACAGTGAACTTATGATGAAACAACCCTCACCAAGACTGGCAAACTGCTGCAATTGGAGAGGGCTAGACTAGATCTAAACAACATGGGCATATACAACGATGAACCCTTCTGCAGATTATGTAATGAGCAGGAGGAAACAACTACCCATATTATCTTGGAATGAGAAGTAACAGCTCAATGGAGATTTATCCTAACATACGAAAAAATCCAGGGAATGAAATTGTAGCAGCGACAATGGCCTGATACTTCTAAGAAGGATTGAGTCTATTGCACTGAACTAGGAAACAAGGAATAACCAGAAGGATGGAGTGCCTGGGGGTACAAACCTCACTTCCTAATATCCTCATTACCATGCCATACCCCCATTGTCAGGTCCGTCTTAGATATCCCTATCTATCCCTAAATATTTACTGTGCGACTAATGCTTCAAAACTTCAGTCTTCGTCTGACTAATAATCTATAATGTTTAGAAGGAAACGTTGCACGTTGTACATGCAGGTAAATTATAATTTATAATGAACTAGTTCAAGGGAGGAAGAAGAAGGATTTAGATGAAGATTCTGAACGGAGAAGTTTACACGTGTATTGCTCCAATTGAGGCAGTCTTTAATTTATTTACTATTACTATTTAGGAATGGACAAAATAACATACTTGACATGTTTTATTGTTCTATGTGGGTTTTACACCCTTTAAAGGCCGATTTCAAGAGGGCTTATCAGAAATTCTTACGATGTATGAGACTAGGTGCGAAAATAAATAATTGATCTGCTCTAACAGTAATGATTCGCCACAATCACGGGTCTGACTTAGCGGCTATGATAAAGTCGGATGAAATTAGATTTCAGCTTCCCCTACGGCAAATTGTAATCGACCACTCCCGGCTGTCGGACGCCCCGCTAGATTTACACCGAACCGACTGGCATGTTCCACCCCTAGAAAGCCCACCCCCACCCGGGTTTCGTTTAAACGTCCAAATCGAATCAATCCGATTAACCCCCAATGGAATCGTTAGTTGCAAATTGAATTGTACCATTCCGACCATGGGATTAAGGGAAATAAGACATAGTACCCGACTAAGTATATAAACAGACACTTCGGCGGATCCGGGTAATTTATGAAGTCCGGATTTTTTTCCTTCGTGCATAAACATGACAGACGGGCTTTGCATCTGACGTAGGTAGAACATTAATAAATTTTTTTAAAGTGAGCCTAGTCACCACCAGTTATTTGTTATTAATATAAGCCCCTTTGTGACCTAGTGTCGGCGGATCAACTAAGATTATACACACCCTCAGCATAGTCAGGAAATTAATTGCTTTACGTTTTTAAAATAAATGAAATCAAGATTACGTTAATAAACAAAAAAAAGGAAATTCAAAAAGATGGAAGAAAACAGTGGGCCGATGAAGTGGAATATCTGGGTCAATTTGTTGAGCAACAAAGAAAACACCACAGGAGAGGTACAGCACAGAACCACCCTGGGATGTAAAAAAAATAATGTGTTTTATTGTATTTTTCCGTCAAATTAGCACCTTTTAATTAAGTTAATTAGAAATTATAAGTAGTTAATTCAAAATTAAAAAGCATAAATTTTAAATTAAAAAAAAATTAGACGGGTTAATTCGAAATTAAAAAAATAGTTGATTTGGAGCAAAAAGGATCAATTTGTACATAAGAAGGGGAAATCAATGGTTTTAATGTTAAAAAAGGTCAAATTGACAAAAAAAAAAAATTAAAGTTAAAAAAGGGTTTATTTGAAATTAAAAATGTTTAATGTGGAGGGGGAAAAGGATCAGTCAGTTTGAAAGAGTTAATTTGACGGAAAGAAGAGATAATTAATTTACTTGTGATTAGTAAGAGCGTAATTTTTTTAATGTAAATATTTTCTATGTATACAGTAGTTATAGTTTAGATGAATACATTTCGTACCATTCTTACGTATTTTAATGCTGTTAAGAAAGGTTTAATTTGAATTAAAGAAAGAGTTAATTTGGTGCAAAAAAGGATCAATTTGAAACAAAATGGTTAATATGGACGGAGTATGTCATAGAATCAGTCAGTATGAAATTAAAAAGAGTTAATTTGGAATATAAAAAAATAATTATAATTTAAAAAGTTAATTTGAAATATAAAAAAATTNTTATTTTTTTATTATTATATTATTTTATTATTTATTATATTATTACAATTATTTTCAAATATACAGTAATTATAGTTTACATGCTTATATTTCGTACCATTCTTAAGTGTTTTAATGCTCTAAAAAAGGATTAATTTGAAATAAAAGAATGAGTTAATTTGGTGCAAAAAAAGGATCAATTTGAAATTAAAAAGGGTTAATTTGGAGTTTAAAAAAGTTAATTAGAATTTGAATAAGGGGTTAATTTGCCGGAAAAAGCTATAATTAATTGTATGCGGTGTTTAATTAAGTTTATGCTATATCACGACGGGGATTCGAACCCACGACCTTCGACTACACATTTGAAAATATGACAAAAGGAGGGAAAATTCGAACGGTTGTAGGTTGAGATGGGGGAGTTGATGTCCGATGGGATCGATGCCACTCAAGTGGTTAGAGGAGCGGCGTATTCAACCAAAGGTCGTGGGTTCGAATCCCGCTCGTGACACTAATTTTTCAACCGAAAACCTTAGACAAAAAGAAAGAAAATTAGAATTAATATGGTCAATTGTGACCACTAAGCTAATATGGGTTAATTTCATATCAAAGTTCATTAGAAAAAAACACTTGTATAAAGACTACTTTAAACTACGATGCACAAACGTGGAGCCTAAGTATTAAGAAAGTAGTAAAGTCAACATTAAAAGAAGAAACCAGAACAAAAATGCCAAATACTGGACTATGAATTTAAAAAAGAATTGAAGGTGCGAAAACACGGAAATCAACATTAATACCTTTCAAAAGCATCGAAAATACAGAAGTGAGAAGCGTATTAAATAACGATAATGTACCAAATCCTCTTTGGATTACAAATTTTGGTCCTCACAGTAGATGACAGGGAGGAATCTGCTCTGGTTAATATACAAGGACTTACGTTCATGGCCGTTAAAAAATGAATAAAAAAATAACCAAATAAAAACTCAGAACCAGTAGTAGCACAGGTTGGTTTTTGAACCCCGGATTCTCATCCCAACCCCTTACAGAGTTAACAGCTTTCATCCCAAACCCTCCAAGAAGTTGGGGCATTTTCCTCTTCAGAGTGAATAGTGTTGTGATAGGAGTGTAACTAATGTGATATAATAAAAAAATCTAATGTAAGTACAACTTAGTCGATTATAGTTGAAACACACAAGCCTTTAGGATGAACTGTACAAACTTTGGCTGTTCACAAAACATCAACCAGTGTCCGAAAACTCACGGAAAAAAAACTATACGTACGTTGCTTAGCACTTGTGCGAAGACTTTGAACACTCAGGTCCAGGGCGAAGTTTGCATCCGCGAAATCGCTTATGGGATGATTGATACGCTTAATGACGCAGCTAGGCTCTCCATAGACGCAGGAAGTCGATGGATCGTCGGTGGTCGAACTTGTCGCAGCTGTGAGTAAAGCAAGTTTAAATAAAAAGAAGAAAAAACCCATAAGTTATGAAAGAATTAGCCTGGAACAGCTGTAACGCTAAAAATTAAAAGTTGTCACCTCCAGTTTTCGACCAAAAATACATCATGATCTAACATCTGGAGCAATCCGTTTTGTATATTCTTTGACATTTCGTCGTTTTGCCTAAAATTGTTTATTAATCATAAAACAACGTTCGTAATAAGAATTATTTTCAGCGAAAGGTGCAAATTTCATTCCTTCAAAGCATTTTTTTTTTTTTTTGAGAAAGAGAGAGAAAGGAGTGAGAGAAAGAGAGAAAATTTCAGATTAAGCTATGAAATATGTTTAAGCTTTTTAGGAAGAAAAAGTAGGCTTTATTTTAGTAAACCAGCTTTAGGTGTCATTGGAATGGCATTAGATCAGGCTGACAGGTGATTAAACCTAGTTTATTATGCTGCGCTATTTTCGAAGTCCTGATCGATACCCACCTCAGCTTATTTTGAAAAAAATAGGTGAATATAAAGAAAAATAGATTAATCGGTTAGATAAAGCAACAAAAATAAAGAAAAAAAAGCAATTGATTAATATATTAACAACTTACCAGCTTTGTTGTTTATATAGACACATAATTTTGTTTTTAGTGGTAACAGCGGTTTCAATCAACAAGAAAACAGTATTGGCCCTCACTGTATACAATGAATAAAACATATACAAAAACGAGAATCCCAGGATAGATGCACAAAATAACAATGGAACCAACATGTTTTCATTTGCGGAAAAAATTAATATGCAGAGTGGTAATTTAGTCGTGTTAGTTGTTTTAATAGCCGTGAACTAGTTAAAATTAGTAATTAGTACAGTCCAGTTCAAAAGTTAGACTTCAAGGAAAAGTTATTTTGTAAACATATATTTAAAAAACAAAGGTCAAAAAGCAGATTGTCCTGTTTTGTGAAAATGCGGTCCATGGCTGCATCCGCAAAATCCTTCGGACGATTTTTTTTTCATTGAACGATCGGCGGAGATTAGAAGCGTTTAAAGAAGAGCGGAACGCTTTACTGGGGGCAGATGTCTCTCTTTATGAACACTTACTTGGCGTCGGAAGCGTTGGAGGAGGAGGCATAAGTTCCGAATCCAATTTGTAACGGAGGAAACGCTGAGGATGGCTCCTCTTTCTACTTCGCCGTGCCTCTGCGATTAAACAGAAAATTAAGTTAGGTACAGAGAATTAAGCGCCGTTCCCCGGGTACGCGCTTTGATGCGGAATCCTCAAAAATGAGAAATAAGAGAAAATCGGGAATACGACAGCGCTGTCAATATTTTAAAACGGTCCTTCGAAATCTAATCAAATCGACTAATTAAGCACCGATAATAGAAAAAAGTCTTTGGAAACGATTGAATATATCGAAGTGAAACTATTCTTTCCTCAAAGCTTTCCCTGTCGGTCCCAGAAATGGAAAAGTGTAAAGGGCTTGGGCAGTAGGGCTGGGGATCGAGAGGTTGTTTGACAATAGGTTGAGGTCGTTGTGGACAGATTTGTGACACAGAAGCTTTAACAATTTATCTGAAGGTTTTTGATTTTTACGATTGGATAAACTGGATTATAATGGCTTGGAGAAACCTGCTGATCCATTTCGTATGTCCAAAATGGTCGCAATAATGCGTTGAATAGAGTTAGTTGAGTCAAAACAGATCTGTGCGCTAAAATTCTCCGTATTAGTCGAAGTTCGTTTAGTCTTTGGAATAGAAGGTGAAGGGATTGGTCGGTAGAGAGCAAGAGCAGAAGGGTATGAATGGGCAAAAATATTGGAGTGAAAGAGATAAAAGTAAAAATGAGAGTAAAGAGCTTTGAGGACTTTTAACTGGAATGCAGTGATTAGCAGAAAAGGATATTAAATCATTTGATAGTAACCACAGCTCACCTCCGTCCACATAGGTTGAAGTAATGTTTTCTATTGTGTTAGGTATGTTCTGTCAGACATGTCTGATTTCAGTTCTAAACGTTAATTTCTTAAATGCCTCCTACGTCTTGATGATTTTAAGTCGGGATGTTCGGGAGAAGAAAGATCTTGAGCAGTAGGGTTTGGGTTGAAAGATCGGAGAATTGGTAGGTTACAGACGTATTAAAGAGCTCGAATCTTCTGACAACTTTTGACTGGAATGTTTGGATTAGTTGGACATCAGATATCTTGGTAGTAACCCATCTCTGTCCATATAAGTCGAAATAACGTTTTGTAGTGTTATTTTGTTCTTGACAGTCATGCCTGATTCGGACCTATAAGTTGTCGTAGTTGCCTCCTACGTCTCGGCGATTCCAAGTCGGGATGTTCGGTAGAAGCGAGCTCTTGAGCAGTGGGGTTTGAGTGGGTATAAAGATCGGAAACTTAGTAGGTTAGAGACGTATTAAAGAGCTTGGATTATTCTCCGGAGGACTTTAGACTGGAAAGTTTGGGTTAGTTGGATGTCAGTTATCTTGGTGGTAACCCACAGTTCACCTCTGTCCATATAGGTCGAAATAACGTTTTGGAGAGTGTTATTTTGTTCTTGACAGTCATGGCTGATTTCGGACCTAAAAGTTGTTGTAGTTGCCTCCTACGTCTCGGCGATTCCAAGTCGGGATGTTCGGTAGAAGCGAGGTCTTGAGCAGTGGGGTTTGGGTGGGTATAAAGATCGGAGACTTAGTAGGTTAGAGACGTATTAAAGAGCTTGGATTATTCTCCGGAGGACTTTAGACTGGAAAGTTTGGGTTAGTTGGATGTCAGTTATCTTGGTGGTAACCCACAGTTCACCTCTGTCCATATAGGTCGAAATAACGTTTTGGAGAGTGTTATTTTGTTCTTGACAGTCATGTCTGATTTCGGACCTAAAAGTTGTCGTAGTTGCCTCCTACGTCTTGGTGATTCCAAGTCGGGATGTTCGGTAGAAGCGAGGTCTTGAGCAGTGGGGTTTGCGTGGGTAAAAGGATCGGGAACTTAGTAGGTTAGAGACGTACCAATTATTACGACGGATTATTCTCCTGAGGACTTTAGACTGGAATGTTTGGATTAGTTGGATGTCAGTTATCTCGGTGGTAACCAGTGAGCATAGAAGTAACTAGTGGCCTTTTGGGGGTGCTAAATCATGTTGGTTAATGTTTACAACCACTACTCACTTTTTATCTTGATACAGACGGTAAGTGATTTTGAGAGGATGGAATATGTTTTTTCATAAGAGAAGAATGTGGTAGGATGACTTGTGGTTCAAAATATTCTTGTCTTTTAAGGAAGGTTTCGAAGCACAGTAGAGATAGTTAGCTCATGTCCAGGGGTTTACACGCTTAACTTCACAAGGATGAAAAGGTATATGACAATACAAAGACCACATTAAATCCCTTTTGTCCCATTAACAAACATTTAGTTTTGAGATGTTTATTGTGTTAGTTTTGGTGGTACGCACGACGATATTTTGCTTTTTTTACTTTCAATATTGCCCTCAGGCAGGGATCGTTTCGATTTATCTCTCCCCGAAATGGATTCCTTACTGTACGCAAATTCCAACAAAACTATAAATTATTTTCAAACCCGAATTTGCTAGGTCGACGAAAATGCAGATTTAAAAAAATATCGTCGTGTGAACCTAGGTTTTAATAACAACAGGCATAAATTAGATAATTTCCAAGACTTACTGTCGACCGATGGCCGTGGAACGGCATAACCAGCATAGTTATTGGTGCCGACACCTATTAAAAATTCCTTATGTAAATTTTTCAAACTCTGATTTTTTTAGTTAATTAGGTTTTCTGACAAGGCAAAACCACTGTCTGCAAATTTTGCTCGAATTATTTTTCTTTAAAAAGTTTTCTTAATTTCTTCTTGAGTTTTATTGACTTGAGAATGGATTTAAACGAATGAGATGAAACTAAAAGGTCGAAATTTGGCCGTTCAAAAACGGAAAATCGTAAAACTTACTTTGTTTGTCGTAAGAAGGATGGTGTTGATGATAAGATGGGCAACAAGCGCAACATTGCAAACATTGGCAACCACCCTTTCCGAAGTTTCGTCCTTCCGGAGATACAGCCTCTATTTGTAAACAGATTCAAACGTCAACTAGTTTTGGTGAAGGCGACTAATATTTACCAAGATAATAACTGGCCATTGACTAAAATTTAGGTTATATATTAACGTTTTTTCTATTATAAATTATTAGCAAGGGTGAGGTCGAATCCATTTGCGAAACATTCATTGTCAATTTTATATCGACTTTATACTCGACGTTGAATCGATATATCCGTCAGATGATCATTTCACAGAGATCATAGATTAATTAAGTCCTTTGTGCTGTGAACAGCGAGGATATACGGACCCAGTGATCAGCCTGTTATTTCTCCGTGTTGCCTATGGGGTGAACATGAAATTTCGTCGTCACTGATCATTTTCGCCTGTCCATCATTCCTATGTTGGTCTGTCAAACAGCTCTAGGTGATTTTTTTTATGTGCTTTTCTTTTTCAATGCGTTGTGCCCTGTGGAATCTCAGCACATATAGCTTTTGTCCGTCAAATTAAGCTTTTTATGGTTTCAAAATTAATTCTTTGTCGCAAAAAATTAGATCCCTTTTAATTAGAAATTTATCCATTTTAATTTGCAATCAAATCATTTTCACATCAAATTAACTATTTTTAATAAAATTAATTTAATTTAGTATTACTCAGCACATGCAGCTTTTGTCCGTCAAATTAACCTTTTTATGGTTTCAAAATTAATTCTTTTTTGCAAAAAATCAGATCCCTTTTATTAGAAATTTATCCCTTTTTAATTTGCAATCAAATCATTTTCACATCAAATTAACTATTTTTAATAAAATTAAATTTTTAAAATTAAAATTAACTATTTTAAATAAAAAATAAAAACTATTTTCAATTTGAAATTGACCTTTCTTTAAAGCATTAAAAAAGTTAAAGATAGCATGAAATAGAGTAACTCCTATTAATTTGAGAACTTTTTTTTTAACAGAAAATAACTGGACTCTAAGACGACCACACGAACATGAATGACTATTGAAATTAAAAAGGATTAATTTGAAAATAAAAAAATGTTAATTTGACGGGAAAGAGGTTAATTTCAAAAATCTTCAACCACTTGTAGTGCCTGGACATATCATCAATACCCAACAGACGATCCTAACTTCAACTAAACTGCAAAAGGTCGATAGGTAATGATTCTAAACCTATGTTGACTTACGGTTTCGATCAATGGGACATCACCCAACAACTGCGAACGTATTCGAAGATTCGTATCAAAAACCCTAAGAAAAATTGCTAACCAAACAACCTATGTATCAAATCTCACACAACGTCAATATTCCATGCCCCATCTATACATCCCAATGCCCTGGGGTCAGGTCAGTTCCTGTCCATATACACGTATGTTCCCTACGTTTATCTTCCCATCGACTGAAACGCCGAAACCAGTTTTAATTATGCCTTTTAATAAAGATTTTTAAGATTTTGAAGAGACGTGGATCGTGATAGCCCGTAGAAGAGAGAAATTGACCAGTACAGACTGAAGTTGGATATTACGCGGCTTCGTATCCCACAACACACCTCCGCACGTCCAAAGACGTCCTGTCCTGTATAAACCTTGGGATTTTACGGTCAAAACCGATTTCGGACCTAGAAATCAAGAGTTTTTCTCTTTTGAATATTATGACAGGATTGAACGTCAGCCTGCTGTGTAGGTAGTCCTAAGTAACTGATTGAGTGTGAAAGTCGGTAGTTCCTCGCCTTTGACCTCGTTGTTAATGTTAATTTGGATGTATTCGTCCTAGTTAAGCTTTGTTTTCCAACAAATTGCACCATTTTTCAAAGAGCTTGAGAAGCACATGGATATTGGCGGTGTCGTCAGGCAAAGGGGATAGTCATCGGTATAGGTGCGGGACAGGTCTAAACTCGTTACGGGGCACCGGTTCGAATCAACTCATTGCTCTTACTTTGAAGTAATGATCTTAAATAGGATTGTAAACATAGTCATAAGGAGAAGGAACGGCCTTCAATAGAACTGCTACCATGTTTAACAAGTACCTGAGCAGTACTAAAAAAATATTGTCAACCCATGAAGCCCTGCTTAGACATGAAATAAACGATGTCTGTTATTTTATCGATAGATGTTGATGAGACCTTGATTAACAGTTTTTTCAACAAATGGATTTCATGTGTTAAGGAGAATAAAGCCTGTATACGTCGTTGGGATTTCTGTTCGAAAACCTAATGAAAAAAGTCAATTTTAGTCGGTTTGTCGATCTTGTCGCAACATTTCCACATTCTACGTCAAGTCTTTATTGTTCCACTATTCGGTCAATTTTCAGTTTAAAATGCTAACTATTTGTTCGTTTTGGTCCAAATGCGGTTTTGTATATTTTAAATTCAAAGAAGACAACGAGATACAACTTATTCTTGACGTTCCACTGTCTTTTGTCTCTATATAATACCGTAAAAAGCTGGCGTTATTTTTCCTACGGTACATAATAAATAAAATTTCTTTTAAGTTAATTCGAAACGACACGACATCCTTTCCGATTCAAAAAGGACGATTTTGAGCTTCACGTAATTAAACTAATTATTTATTAATTAACTACAAAAAGAACTTACGTTCCGGGGAAAAAACTGCCCGACGTGCATAAGGAGCGCTGCGACGTCTTTGCCATGCGTACATCGGTTTTTCAGGCGAGTACTCAACCGCAGGACTCATAGTTAAATCTATTTCTGTTTATAAATAAACATAACAATTTAAAAAAAAAGAAGTAATTACGCACTTTGTCGACGATTTCTACGTGTGTAATGTGTCGGTTTTTCATGTTCAAATCGAAAACGAAACAGAAAAACGCACACTACACAAGCAATATTGCGTGAACAGATGACATATAATATTTATAACTTGGCATGGCTAATTACCTATTTAAAAAGTAATCGAAGTAAATAAAAATTATAAACATCTTCCTCTTTTACTTTCGGAAAGGAAAAAAACAAGCTCACAAATATAGTGCTGTTTATGGTGCCGGTCGAAGCCGTAAAAGAAAGACAGTTGGTAATAAAAAATGGGTAGCGTGCAATAATGTCCAGGAAAGGAACGAGCACTAGCAACAACCGAAGTTGCCATACACAGGAGAAAGCTTATGTTATAAGCTCGGCGAGTTTGCAAGGCAAGGGATTCCACATCCTTGGCAAAGAAAAAACATCAGAGCTTGGTAGAAATGATAAATGATGGAGTGAGTGTGGTGTTCAATCTTTTTTAAAAAGATAGTTCCTACTCACAGTAAGTTGTTTTGCAACGATCCGGATTTCGAGCCTTTTAGCTCATCATCAGGTTGTAGAAGTCGCGTTGGCGGAGGTATCAGCGGGTTCACTTTGGCAATTTATGTCGAGAGACGTGATTGTAGAAGTCCTTCAACCTGATGATGAGCTAAAAGGCTCGAAATCCGGATCGTTGCAAAACAACTTACTGTGAGTAGGAACTATCAGAGTTTGGTTGTTTGGTGGTCTCATCCAAAGTACAGTCCTGACCTCGCCACTTCAGTTTGCAAGGGTGCATTGTCTGTTTTGAAATCCCACCGCAACCAGACAAATAAAATGCATACACCAGACTGAACTATATGATTGCAGAAAAAACGCCTTTAAATTGGCCAACAAAAGAGATATTGCCTTCTATCAGTACATTGCAAGGCCACATCACACAAAATTATCGGAACTTGGTGTGTTCCCACAGACTTGACCTCGCCCCTTCAGATTACGAGGGTACATTGGTCATTCAAGTGCAATTGCCCTGAAATTGGTATGTCAAAGAGCTATGGCGATGATCTTTCGCCACATTCACTGTACCAATCCTGACCTCCCCCCTTCAGGTTACAAATGGTACATTGGCCACTTAATTCAAGTGGAATCCCTTGAAATTGGTAAGCCAAAGAGTTAACGCGATTATCATTATTGACCTCACCCCTTCCGTTTACAAGAAAAAACCGCTTTTTTGCCAACCATAATTAGCAAATCGGTAAGAAGATTTTGGCAGTAAACAGCCCGTTAATCTATATATAATTTTAAATTTTCACTGCTTAAAATTAGGTATTTTAATTTTGAAGGAGAAAATGCTATTTCTCATCAACGTGCTATAAAGTTGCTTATTAAACTGTTCAGTTTACTGTATATGCAATGAATTGAAAAATCAATAGAAATCCCATTCATCATTACTCTTCTCAGTTTGATACCTAAGAAATGTCCTGATTTATAACAAATAACCCCTTTTCGTTTGAAAGTATTATTTGAAAACGTAAACTGCTACTGTCCTCCAAGAGGAGACTGTGGCTATTGAACACTAGGGCCATGTAATAATAATAATAATAATAAGTTTATGGCACACAAGAAGAAAAAAGAAAAATTACATATAATTCAAACAAGAAAATAAACTTAATACGGCAAGGTAACCGTCTGCCGGGGCTTGGATTAATTATTGACTAATCCTGTAAAATAAACGTACAAATGCATTAAACTAAGTCTATGCTAAGTGTAACATCTATAACAAAATACCAAATCAAAAGGACACAAAACTGAGAATTAAAAATCAATGAGCGGAGCTGAGACCGGAGAAACAGAAACACCAAATATCAAGGGAAAGAGCGGGGGCAAAGAAATTGGGAGCAAAAGAGAAGAAGAGAGAAGAATTACTAATTAAATTCGTTTACATTAGCCTTCGATAAGCCCAGGCCGCTTTAGCATAATTCACCAAGTCTGTCCAATCTGGTCCGTAGAGCAATCTGATGCATCTGTCCATTGATACGGTTCTTTCGCCGAACGCAGATAAACGGTACGGGGACAGAATGGGGCATTCCGCGACAAAGTGGTATATGTCTTCCTTCACCCGGTAATTACATAACTCACACTCCTGTTGGGTGAAGAGATCATACGGCTTATGTCGTAGGTTCAGCAATTCTTCCCTCAGTTTCAGGATCCAACGTATGTCTGTAATTTTCTTATTTGTCTTTTGGTCCCCAACCAAGCTGGCACATCTGACTCCGTGATCCAGCATCCTATATATACGGTATCGACGGGAAGCCTGCACTCTCTCTATGTTGCTCACCATAAAACTATCTTTAGGGGAGTCTAACTAGGGAAAGTCGACTAATAATTGACTGGAGTTGAAGAGAGAGAGCCTTACTCTCGGGTTGCGAAAAGGACAAACCCACTCCCACCCTGTCCGCCAGTCTACCCGTCAGCAGCCCAAGATATCCCCAGCCTGATGATCTCTTCAGGAAATGTCCTGATTTATAACAAACAACCCCTTTTCGTTTGAAAGTATTATTTGAAAGCGTAAACTGCTACTGTCCTCCAAGAGGAGACTGTGGCTATTGAACACTAGGGCCATCTAATCGGACAACCAGGCTGCACTAAGGCGGCAATGTCAACGGTAGTTCGAGAGCATTGGGGAAAACAACATCACTTTCCGTCATCCAGTACCAGGGCATCGATGGGGCCGACGAATATGTCACACTCGATCAGAACACTTATCGACGCTGAACCCTTTGCGGCGTACCAAAATGACAAAAAATCAATTCTTTTAAATACTTAGTGTATTTAGATTAAGTTCTTGGAACTATGGGAATGTATTATAAGATAAAGGCCAGTAGTGGGACCGTTTACGTCACCGGAGACTCCGGATAGCCAGTGCAGATATAGCCAGGAGGAAGAAACGTCTGTTGATCCTCCTGTGCAGGCTGAGATTCCTAATCGTGGGAGCGGAAAAGAAAACGCCTGAGAGATAAGGGAGTCCAAGCTTTGGGATCTTGTAAAAAGCCTTTTGCTTAAAGAAGAGCTCAAGACGATAATGGAAGGTTGCACGATAGATCGATATCCGTCGAGGTGTACAAGGTTGTAAAGTGGCAGAATTTTAACCATTAAATTTTTATCTTTGCAACCGCCCTGGAAGAGTTAAGAGTTTCCTGTTTATTAGGAAAGCAATGTAGACCTCGATACTACTCGATGAGAAGAATTCTATACTTTATGGTACCACGAAGACAGGCTTTTCCAGATTAGTTATCTAAATGTACATATAAGGGATGGTTTGATAAATTTCAAATTACACAGCCTCTGCTGCAAACCAAAAAAAACTAGTCTTTTTTTAATGCACATCCATCTAACAAACTACGGCGCTACACTTGCCCGCAGGAGAAAGTGTTTTGGGACATACAACGTAACCGTAGAAGAGATACAACCACTGAAACCGGGCCTACTAATCAACTTCCTTGGTGAACTAGCACTTACCGGTGTGCTTCAAGCACAGAACGAGGGATGGATACAATAGCTGTTAAAGCGCGAAGTATAGTACACGCCTCGTCTAATACACCTATGCCAATCCACAGTGCCTGTCTTAAAAAAACTCAGCTTGACCAATTGCTGCCAGAAGAGCGATTTGGGTCCAAACAACACGTCCACAACAGCTCTATCGAGAAACGGACACTGGGCACTTTCAAAGGAATGTGCTGATTTTTTGTTTGGTGAGGTACGTTAACCTTCTAGCAAAACCTAAACCGTCAGAGTGAACTGCAGTACGGCTTGTCGATGTGAACCCATCAAGTCATCTGCTTCACGTATAAGAAAAATATCAGGTTTACTCTTCGAGATCAGAGTCAGTAAAGTACCTGAGGATGAAGCTGGATAAAAGACATACTTGGAGTGAACACATGCCAGACGTAGTAAGCATCAAAGGGCAGTATAAAAAGTTCGAAACCAATATTATCCTATCAAACCATCACCGCTGACACTAAACGTCTACACTTGTCCTTAATCAGGCTTAACGTTTATACCGACAGGCGAAAAGAGTTCAGACCCTCCAGCATTTAGATTTTCGTCGGACATCAACTATACTGCGTTGAGCCTGTGAAGGTGATGAGAGAATTTTCTCCGAGTTCTAGGATCTAAAAATAGTAAAGGACTTACACCTGCGCAACATGAGCTCTAGGTCCTCAACAACAAAGCCTCAAAATCAAGTTAACTAGGTCAGCCATAATGGTTGGCATGAGCGATGACCCTATAGATAGGAAGTAATGTTCTTTATGTGGAGTTAAATCTCTAACCAAATCCTCAAGAACTGCCAGAAAGGTTCATATATTCATATGCTGTCAGAAGACAGACGCCCCCTCCAGTCATGGATAACTGACAGTGCAATTTTCAATATTACTTTCGATTACACATTAAAGTTTACATTAATTAGGGAGCTTTCCAAAATATTTATATATTTTTACCAGCGTATTACAGGGTTAAATGTGAATACTGCCGTGGTTGATTCACAAAATAAAACGTAGTTTAGTCCTACAAGAACGAGGTTTCTATCTTGACTCTTTCCTGAAATCTCCTTTGCAAGGTTGAAAAACGTGATATCGAACCAAGGAGAGGAGCAGCGCATGATCATTTAAATGTCATATTTTTAATGAAAACACACAGTTTTTGGTTGGTAACGAAAATTAGACACATTTTTCTAGTGACATAAGCCCTGATTTGACCCCACTAGATTTTTACATGTACGGAACTATGAAAAGTTGTTCAACATCATCGAAATGTTTCGATCTATATTGAGATCATCTTCAGAGCCTGGGATTTATAAACATTGTTTAAATTTTACAAATAAACGTAGGGTGTGGGAAAAAATATGAATTTATACAATGCTAGAAAATTTTGGATTTTTTCTCTAAAAAAATCCAGCATTATATAAATTCATAATTTTTTTCCACATCCAACATGTATTTGTAAAATTCAAACACTGCTTATAAATCCCAGGCCCTAAAGATGATCTCAAATTTTCAGGGCCTGGGATGTATAAACATTGTTTGAATTTTATAAATACATAGGATGTGGAAATAAAATGAATTTATACAATGCTAGGAAAGTTTTTTTTTTCTAAAATTTTCAAGCATTATATAAATTCATAATTTTTTTCCACATCCAACATGTATTTGTAAAATTCAAACACTGCTTATAAATCCCAGGCCCTGAAGATGATCTCAAATTTTCAGGGCCTGGGATGTATAAACATTGTTTGAATTTTATAAATACATAGGATGTGGAAATAAAATGAATTTATACAATGCTAGGAAAGTTTTTTTTTTCTAAAATTTTCAAGCATTATATAAATTCATAATTTTTTTCCACATCCAACATGTATTTGTAAAATTCAAGCACTGCTTATAAATCCCAGGCCCTAAAGATGATCTCAAATTTTCAGGGCCTGGGATGTATAAACATTGTTTGAATTTTATAAATTCATATAGGATGAGGAAAAAAATTATGAATTTATACAATGCTAGAAAAGTTGATTTTTTTTATAAAATTTTCAAGCATTATATAATTTCATAGTTTTTTCCACATCCTACATGCATTTGTAAAATTCAAACTGTTTATAAATCCCAGGCCCTAAAGATGATCTCAAATTTTCAGGGCCTGGGATGTATAAACATTATTTGAATTTTATAAATTCATGTAGGATGTGGAAAAAAATTATGAATTTATACAATGCTAGAAAAGTTGATTTTTTTTTCTAAAATTTTCAAGCATTATATAAATTCATAATTTTTTTCCACATCCTACATTCATTTGTAAAATTCCCAGGCCCTGAAGATGATCTCAATAAAGATCCGATACGTTGGCCCGATAAAGAAAATATTTTTCTAAAACCTACGTCACACCAGACCGCATCTCACCATCTCCTAATAATCTTATAAAATAAGGCGACTCGTGAAATCCCCCGAAAATTTTGATGGAAAAGTCATTGCAAGAGCTACAATTGAGTAAAAAAGAAAAAAACATGGTTTTTGTCATTTGTTATATTTGGAGAGGCTACTGTGTATTCGGAAGCGCGAATTTTTCAACGGAAATGTGATCTTCGGTAAAATTTCACGTAGTTTACGAAATGAAGGTCAGATCTGTATTTCAAAGTTGAGAAATTACGATTTTATCTGCAAAAAAATCTGATTTTATTCTAATAATAAGTTAATATCTCAGGAAAGGGTCAAGACCAGGTGGCACTGAACTAGGGATTTATTTTGCGAATCCACCATGTCAGTATTGACATTTAACCCTGTAACATCCTGTATAAAAAGATTTTTTGTTTGAAAGTGATCTCACTCCATCCCAACGCGACGATCTGTGGCTGATTAAATTGACTACTAATTATAAGATTCATCACTACTGAGGACATCAATAATGGGAAAACAATTCACTGCTTTTTTTTTTAATAATGAATAAATAGCACGTTGCAGAGGGAATAGCAACTCCTGATACACGTCAATTGGTACAAGGGTCATTGGAAATAATATACGGTATGGTATTTGTTCACTTACTCCTGCCATGTAACTTGCCGACTGGAGGTAAAGGCTCAGGTTTGTAATCGAGGGAATCCATTTCTTCGAATAAAGCTGATGTACTAACTTCAGGTTCGCCTTGTTTCATTATGAAAAAAAGAAGACGAAAATAACCAAAACACTTCAGGGTAAAAACTTTTCATAAGCAATGCGTTTGCTTGTATGCGATTTTCAACAAATTTTGTGAATTTGACAAAAAAAATAAAAAAACTTTTACAGTTTTACATTTTTAAACAGAAAAAAGCAAACTTTGCCGTTGAAAAGTATAGTGAAGAAAATAAAATATGATTATAATAGTACCAACAAATACAAAAAAATAAGTATTCATCGTGGCATCCATGTTGGTGGAACCAATAACTTTTGTATTTGTCGTACAAAGGAAATAGACACTTACGTAAAGTAACTTGCTCGTATCTGGCACGACTAAATTTAAATAACGGGGAAAGGCTCTCCGGTTTAATATCTAAATCCTGGCTGAGGTCAATGTCTGGAAAACCTTTATTTGAAAATAAAAGAGAAAAAATTAAAAAAAGAATTAATTAAAATCGGAAAATGTGTCAGTTCTTGCCCATCTGGATTTTTAAAAAAAGGCGAGCAGAATATGACGAAGGCTTGAAATCAAAATTTAAAGTAAATTTCAATTAATTATTTTTATGAGAGGTTTTGGTTGAAATGGAAAGGTCAGCGTCACGAGCGGAATTCGAACCCGCGATCTTCGGCTCAATACGCCGCTGCTCTACCATTTGAGCTATAGTGACTTCGATCCACTCGGACACTACTAGCAGACTTGGGCATTATTAACTAAAAATTAGTTGAACTACTCAACTAAAAACTAATAGTTGCCAAGTAGTTGCAACTAAATTTTTCAACTAAAGTAGTCGACAGTTTTTAGTTCAACTAAATTAGATTAGTTGAATGGGAAACCAAAACTAATTTAGTTGAGCAGATTTAGTTGAACGAAAAAGTACAAACTGTTAATTTTAGTTTTAGCTTTCAACTAACAACTAAAACTTTTCTTGAGTTTTTAAACTAATTTAGTTCATCAATTGAGATCAATCAATTCAATTAATTTAGTTGAGTTTTTGTTGTATGTACGTGTGAGTGTGTGTGTGTGGCATTCTCCGAAACCAACGACCGTCTTGTTCAAAAAAAGTTTTAGTTGTTAGTTGAAAATTAAAACTAACAGTTTGTACTTTTTAGTTCAACTAAATCTGATCAACTAAATTAGTTTTAGTTTCGCATTCAACTAAACTAATTTAGTTGAACTCAATTAGTTTGAAACTACGATTACAAACTATTAGTTTAGTTGACCTTTCCGGTTGAACTAAGTAATTTAGTTTTAGTTGAATTTTAGTTTTTCACCCAACTCTGACTAATAGCACGATGGCTCAAGTGGTAGAGCAGCGGCGTATTTAGCCGAAGGTCGTGGGTTCGAATCCCGCTCGTGACACTTACTTTTTCATTCCGACCAAAACCTTACATAAAAAGATTAATTAATTGAAATTAGTAATTTGATCAATAGACCACTAAATACAGTGGATTAAAGTAAATTTGAGTTTTTCTGGTGTGTCGGCTGGAACTACTGTTCTGTACTCATTTAAATGTTTTATATTATTCAATTTATTAACAAAATAACAAAATGAAGGTTGACTCAATCATTCATCCTGCAAGTTCATGTAGAAATTCAACTTTAATCGAGAAATACCTTGGTATTACTAAAAAAAGTTCAGGAAGTACCTTGTTATTAAAACAATTTTTTTAAGGATTTAACGAACAACTGAATCAAATTTTTGGGGATATCAAAAAATAATGTTTTCATCACAAGTTTTTCCCCTTCCGTGTGCATCCGATTTTTTCACAAATCACAAAAATGGTAATAGAAGAAACTATACAATGGTTCAGAACAAACTACACGAAATGGGAAAAATTTGGCCTTTGTAAATAAATTCTAGTTTGATATATAAAATAAAAGTTGGAAGGGTTTCTGTTGATTTCAATTTATTTATATCACTTATTACGCTAGAATAAGATCGAAAGTTATTGACAGAGCCTGGAAGTAGAAAGATGTGGTTTTCCAACTGATGTAAGGAAAAACGTGGACTTTAGGTAAAATCCTAAGAATATGAATTTTAAGTGACACCGGACATAAAAAAGCCGCTCTCAGCTGATCCAACACAAAATTTTTTTTGCTATGAAAATTGGTATACAAGGCCTTTAAAAGCTGCTTAAAATAAACCTGTTTTTTCTGTTCAATTTGCCTAATATGTTTTGACCTAGTATCACCAAAGTTAGCCCCACTTTAAAAAACTACTGTTTAAATCGTAAGTTAAAATTTGATTGACATAGACTGATTTTTCGCAAAATCTATTTTTTTTTTCTTTTTTCTTCAGTCTGGTATATTCATTTACTTTACGTGCGGATTTTTTGGAACTAATAAGACCCGTTTGCTTTTTCTTACTTCGTTACTTCTTTCTTTCTTTTTCTTATTACAGATAGATTTTGGGGGCATCCGAAATATAATGTATTTATGTTGATTGAAGAAAATGTACACCGATGTAGGTCAGACTGTAGGCGACATGTAGGCTTCGGGCCTTTTTTATGAGAACAACAAAGTCAAATTTCTTTTAAAAAACGATTGTCGCGAAAAATATCTCATCGTGATTTTTAAGCCTAGTTGCTACACAGCGACATATTTTTCGGAACAATCGTTTTTTTTTAAAGAAATTTGACTTATGTTGTTCTCATAAAAAAGTTTAATATGGGAAAGATCTGGTATGACACCTACAAAATGTGACAAACAGTACGGCGGACATCGATGTTAAAATAATAACAGGTTTTTGAGAATTGTTAATTGTGAGCGCAAAAAAATATTTTCAAAATCGTCTCTACCTCTTTTATTGTCATCTAAATATTAAACATCGGCCTGTTAGGATTATTTTTGTCCATTTCCTAAAATCCGATCCAATTGCGACAGTGGCCGTAAAATTTAGTGTTGACACGGAGACACAAAACGGACCCTAAACACGTTCTACGTTAAGTTACAAATATTAAAAAAAGGCCTGTTTTTTTATACCGTAAGTCAAGATTTGTGATGTGATTGTGTTGTTTTAAATTCTTTTTTTTTTTTTTAATTGTTCCAGTGTAAGAAAATCGATTTTTTTGTTACTGAATACACGAAAATAAAAGTTTCTCTTACAATTGATAACCCTTTCGATTCAAACAAGACCGTCAATCCAACATAAATTAGGCTCATAATATTTATAAAAAAAAAGTATTGTTTACACCGAAATTTGTAATGATCAACTGGGAGTTTTTCAAAATATATCGATTTTACTACTTCCGACGCGTAAGAAAACCGATTTTATTATGAGAATACATGAAAATAAAAGTTACGCTTACAATTTATAACCCTTTCGATTCAAACAAGACCATCAATCCTACATAAATTAGGCTCATAATGTTTAAAAAAAAGCATATTCTTTACACCGCAATTTATAATGATCAACTGGGAGTTCTTCACAATATCTCAATTTTACTACTTCCGAGGTTAGAAAACCGATTTTATTATGAGAATACACGAAAATAAAAGTTACACTTTTTATTTTAAAAAAAAAGCAAAAAAAAAACACAATTTATAACCCTTTCGATTCAACAACACCGTCAATCCAACATAAATTAGGCTCGTAATAATATTCAAAATCCAAAAACGTCTATTTTTTAAGCGTTTTACTACCTTGCGTAATATAATATCATGAATTAAGTTTATCATAAAACCGATAGAATAATTTTGAAATCTACTTTTTTTTATTTTGCATCATAATAAAAAAATTAAAACTTAAATACCATAAGTGCTCATATGGTCGGCGGAAATTTCCAAATTAATTTTTTTCGTCTTCTAAACTAATCGAATATTAATAAAAAATAATATAATAAATCGAATCCTTATATGAAAACTAATTAAGTAAAATGGAAAATGAATTTTTTCGAGTAAACACGTGCTTAGCCGTTCAAGGCGATTTATCTCTACTTAAAACCAGATCCGTTTTTCAAAATGTCTTTTTTTCTAGAAGTTTCGTTGTAAATAAGCCAATTTTGTTATGAGAACGCAAGAATTTAAAATAATATTGTTAAGAAACACATGTAATCGAAAGGGGGAACTTGTTTAAATAAGCGGAAAAAACTTTAAAAAACAAAAGCCACGCTAGAAATTTTAACCCTTTCCATTCAAAATGGGCCTTAACCGTCTAACTTAAATTAGGCTCCTAATAAGATTAAAATTAGGCCAGTTGTTTTAAAACCTTTTTTAAACAAAATGCCGTTTTTTTAGCGAAGATTTTGTGAAGACCAACTCACAATATTTCCAAAATGTCTCTTTTTTAATTTCCGAAGAAATACGATTTCGAATGAGACTTCATGAAAGATACCCAATGAATTTATAATCCTTTCTATTCAAAATGGACATTCTACATAAATTAGAACCCAGGATAATATTTAAAAAATGCCTGTCGTTTAAACAGAAAGTCAGGATTTGGTTTACATCGACTGAGATTTTTCAAAATGGCTCGTTTTTTCTACTGGTTCAGAAAAAGGCCTATGGGAAATCCATATATAACTTTTAAAAAATACGCTAAAAAGTTCTAACAGTTACGATTTAAAATAGACCTCTCAACACGTACAACATAAATTAGGCCTCAAATAAAATTATTTAAAGAACGTTTTTGTTTAAACCGTAATTCAAAATTCATGAAGATCGACTGGGGAACTTTTAAAAACAAAAACAAAAAAAACACAAAGAACCTAATGACGATTTTTATATCTAACCCTGTGAAAATTCAGATGTGAAAAAGGTTTATTTCCGACGGGTTGAATTTAGAGCGAATTCCACGGGGCATTTTCCAAGTTGTACGAAATATTCAAATAGGCCGCAATACAATCTCTACATGAATAAAAAAAAATTGATGCAGGGATGAAAAAGGTCAATTAAGTGAAAAAATAAAAATTCAGAAGAAGATAAGAGAAAAATAACGAGAAAATATCGGGTAGAACTTACATTTCCCAGGCGAAGGGCTTTTCTCACCTGGTTTATTTTCGGCAACGGACGAATTCGGGGCCTCGTCGTCGGCTATGATTTTCATTTTAAAAAAATAAATAAAATATTAGATGGCGTATTTTAAGTTTTTTGGCTCGTTTAGAAAGTAAAAGGGGGCAAGTGAATTAAAAACAGGTTAGTTTAACAATAAAAAGTTACGAAAAGTTAAAACCACGTGGTCGGGACAAAAGTGGAAATATTCTTTAAATACAGTGAGAACATTTTCTAAACAAGCCATAAAATATTTAATTAAAAATTATTCCTAATGGAGAAATCGAGGAAATATAAATAGAAAAGTTTTTTTTATTGGGATATAGGAGATATTTAAAATCTAGTTTTGTTTTTTTTGAAAATCGCGATCGCCTGGTGACGCTACTGTCTAATCCTTTTCGACCCAAAATGGCGACGAATTCAACGCGGGGCGTTTAAGTTAGGGTATTAGTTTTTTTTAAGTAGGCGTTAAATAAAGCAAAATTTTAACAAAAGTTTTAGCTACAAAGTCGAGATTTGTGGAGATGGATTGAGAATTAACAAAAAAAATTATAATATGGCGAACTCGGTGATGGTTCAGATATAAAACGGATCATTTTTCAAAGCTATGAATTTAAAAGACTTCTCACGAATAAATTGCTTTTAGGATTAGCAATATATTAAGACTATGGGAAACATTTTTGAAAATATTATCTGGGATCCTAACGTAACGCTAAATTGAAAACAAAATATCTTTGGTGAATAATGTTTTTGAATAAAAGTTAATTCCTTTCATGATAATAGGTAAAAACTTACAGTTCGAAGGCGAGGGAGTTATACAACCAAGATCTGATAGATTCGAACTGACCGATTCCGGGATATCATCAAGGGGTAGAATGCCATCAACATCGTCGTCGTCCAACACTTCTCAAAAAAATGTTATTAGAGAGTAAATAAAAAAAGGTCGTACCGAGGGTTAACTTACGTATTGTTTCGTACTCAGCGTCGACGTCAATAATCAATTCTGGTTTTACCTCTTCGGAAGACCCCTTCTTTTCTTCGCTCATTTTTACAACTGATTTCTTATCTGTACCTCGGTCACCAGGAAGAAGGGATTTTTGCTAAGATTGGGCGTTTATGGCGAAGACGTGTTCTTCCGACGAGACGCGTAAGGAGAATGAGCCCTGACCCGCGGTCAGCCGCGCCCCCACTCGTCGGCATGCGATCGTCGCAATGTCACCCCGATCAAGGAAACCGGCAACGGATTTTTTGTCCATTTTCAATTCTTACGTTCGCGCAAAATTGGCTAAATTAATATATTTATATATTCGCTAACTTTTTTTCTCCGGTTATCCCGAATTTCAAGCGATTTCATCGAATCCAACCCCTCGTATAAACTCTTAAATATCCCTCCTACTCATTTTTTCAAATTGTTTCCGTTATTTTTCCAGTCACTGATTTATCGTTTCTTCTATTAAACAATTATAGAATATGATAATCGGTAGTCGTGTTCGTCCCGGATTCAACGGCCCGAGTCGTCCCGTCAAAGCATCTCCTCAGTTATCGTAAACAATTTTGGCGCGACTCAGGCCTTTTGGAAAATCAATTTTGGCGCGTCTGGACGAAACACTCGGATCCGCACTCGGAAACAAAACCCAGCCTTTACTTTAAATACAATTATGGACAAATTAACCCACCACTCAATTTATTTAGTTTAAAATAAAATCCATTATTTTTCTACATTAGTTACAGGTAATTAGGTGCGATCGTAGTCAAAATACACAGTAAATAATGTTGATGAAGAAGAATCGACCACGAAGATAAATGTGTTTGGGATCTGGTTTCTGGTACAAGAAAGAAGTAGATTCTGCGATTACTTGCCAAGCTTTCGGCCTTTATAGGACCATCATCAGAGCAGCTTTCTATTTTTATATTAGCTTTGCACAATTACGAAAAAACCCTACGACATCGACTACGAGGTCTCGAAGTACATGAAGTGGTTAAATTGAACTAAGACTAGTTTTCTTCTGTTTTTTAAGGATAGTGGTCTCCCCAAAAATGTAAGTCCAGTCGACAAAGAAACGTTCTGCGTTATTATGATGCTCCGCATAACGTTGATTGCCTTCGTTTATTACATTTGAGATTATCCTTAATAAATTAATCCATATTTGCTTAGTGGTCATAATTGACATTTTAATTTTTTTTAAATATATAAGGTTTTGGTTGAGATGAAAAATTAGTTCGTCAATTATATTATAATTGAAAGTACCTACATTGAAAATCATAAAAAGAACTTAGTGTTTCTTGTAAAAGTAGAGAACTTGGCCAAAAGAACGTGGTTGGTTTGGTTACGAAACTCATCCACAAATTGTCCACTTGTGTATAGGCAAGGGACTTCGAGCAGGACAAATCGAAGCAACAGTTACGATCGAAAATCTCTTTGTGCAATAGGCTATACAATGCAAAAGACTAGGAACCTGCAGGATGAACTACGAGACAACGGACTGGCCTTTGCGTGGCATTATATTAAATATAGTATGCTTTTGTGTGAATATAAATTGTTAGTATCTTTCAATTAATTAAGGTTTTTAGTTGAGATAAAAAAGTCAGTGTCACGAGTGGGATTCGAACCCACGACCTTCGGCTCAATGCGCCGCTGCTCTACCACTTGAGCTATCGTGACCCCGATCCACTCGGACACTAACTGCCCATCTCAACCACACTTTTTGAATTTTCCCTCCGTTTTGCCATTTTTCAAATGTGTAATCTATTTATTCTTGGCGACAAATGAAATACCCACGGACAGCTTTAGTGAAGGTATACTTTATTTAAACTTATTAAAACTCACTAGTTTCGTTATCTTTCGTTTATCTCAACTAAAATCGTTAATTAATTGAAAGATATTAATTGGTCAAGCGTACCACGAAACTGTAAAATTTAATAAATTGTTAGAGCGAATGAGGGGTTTATCCGAAAGGAATATCGGGTGATCTGTGGTAGTATGAACAGAATTGTGTCGCGTGATGGGAGACCAGCGTCGTCGCATGGACGTGCTTTTTAAAAGTTTACAAGTTTTTAGATGTATAGCTTTTTATCGTCAAATTAACCTTTTTTATAACATCAACAAACCTAGGATATAAAAGACAATTTGCCCCACCGAATTAACCCTTTTTTATATCAAATTAATCATTTCAATCATTCAAATTCATCAAATTAAACATATTTGAGATTTGTTCAAATTATAAAGTAACTGGGCTTTTAAAACCAAATTTCTTAAATTAAATGAAGAATCCTTTATTTTTATTTTTTCTACATACTTTTTAATTGGTTATTTTAATTGCAATTGGTTTTTATATGGTCTTCTGGTAAAATTAAATTTAAAATTTACATACTGTTAAATATAAAAATGGGTGATTCTTATTTATATTAAATGTTATATTTTTATGAATTGTATATAATTCGTAACACCCTTGCTTCTTCAGCAATCTAAAAATCTACATGATAGATTGATAAACATTGATAAAAATCTACTTTTTTTTATTATTTTATTTATTTTATTATTTTTATTTTATTTTATTTTTTTATTGGCCTTATGATCTTGCATATTAGCCATAGTACGAATTCTTGTGTGTTCCAATTGGGGCTTATTGGGAAAAAAGGGCCAGAGGCGACGGTGGGAATCGAACCCACGACCGCGGCGTGAGTGTCTCTCATGCTAACCACTCGGCTACCGCGGTCCCCTCTCACTGATTTAGTTGTTAGTACTAAAAATTAAGAGTACTAAAGCTGAGCGCACACTAAGCCGGTAGGGCGGAGCGGCGCGAAACCGACCTCGAGAAAAATGCAATGAAACGAATGTAACCCTGCACACTAGGCCAATAAGGCGACAAGTCACGGCGCGGAGCCGAGATGAAGAAGTTCCAGACTTCTGGAAGCCGGCTCCGTGCCCGCGGTTTGCCGCCCTACAGGCCTAGTGTGCGCCGCGGCGGTCGGAAATCGTTGAGTTCGAGTATATTCGGCTGCCCTCGGACGCCATATTTGTAAAGGCGAAGCCAACGTGCTGCTTTGTTTATCCTGCTTTTTGGAATAGTAGTAGCATTGTTTCAAGTTAAGTTTGAAAACAAGATCATTTCCATAAAATAATGGTGATATTCTCCAAACGTAAGGCGTTTGGTGTTTATTCCATGTACCTATGGTTTTCGTTTTCGTTTCAGCCTTTCTTCATCCTCTTCCAACTCTGCGACCGCGACCAAAATAATTTCCTCGTCACAACTATTTATTATGAATAAAATTTATTGTGTAGGGGACCGCGGTAGCCGAGTGGTTAGCATGAGAGACTCTCACGCCGCGGTCGTGGGTTCGATTCCCACCGTCGCCTCCGGCCCTTTTTTCACAATAACCAAAAAAAAATTATTGTGATCTGGGGACTCCTGGAAACGCAAAATCAACACTAAACCGCAACGCAAGTCAGATTGAAGGGGAAAATTCGACCAACGCGGCCGAGAGCGGTTCCTGCATAGTGTGCGCCTTCACAATTCCGACCCGCGCCGCCCCGCCGCCCCTCCGACCAAGTGCGCGCCCAGCTTTAACGTCTTATTATTTTTGTGAAATAGTATTTTAAAATCTTCGAAGAAAATTCAAACCACCTGTTATTGGCAGGTAACAGGACTGTTATGTCAATGACGAGACTCTCTTTACAAAATATCCATATTCTTTGAATCCTTTGGCAACGTATGCTCGTAGAGTTTACAAATATTATCTTTATCTTGTTGCAAATTTACGATGTTTTTTTTCCTTTCTAATATAAACATTCTCTAGCCGCAAAATTTTTCTTGTTTTTCCCTTTTTTCTATTGTCTCTTCATTACAAATTTATGGCCAGGTACAAAAACATATATATTAGTAAAACAAAAAATTAAAAAAAAAAAATTTAAAAACCAGAATAAAACAACACTCCGCATCAATCACAAAAAATCTTCATACAGGATTAGCACAGCATTAATTGTAATTAATTTTCAAAAGATCTTTTAGTTGGATATTAAAAAACCCGCAAATATGAAAGAATTTTACTTTATATGCTTATATTTCATATTATAACTTGAGTTTTTTTAATGCTTGAAAGAAAAATTAATTTGAAATTCAAAAAGGTTAATTTGGTGCGAAAATGGTTAATTTGATCGAAGAAAAAACAAATTTTCTCTTATTGATTATTAAAAAGTAACAAAACAATATCAAATATTGTCTGAAAACCCGTAATTTTATTGGCAAAAGGGTTAATTATTAAGACAATGTATTTAACAAAAGAAACTTACTGCCAAATTCGACAGGCTGGCTTGATCCCACTGGACTCGTGTAATTTGTATATCCGTTTTTTTTCTTCTTTTTGCGCTTCAGCTCAGACTCTGGGGAGAGGAGACGTCAAATGAAGATCCGGACAATAAAAAAACCCATAATCGGGCAACTTACCATTTTGGACTTGTGTGTTCCTCTCGAGATGAGGAGTATCGGGCTGATGCGAGGTGCCCGGTTTCTGATAATCTTGCTTCACAACTTTACCACTCACGTTCGGCTGTTTTTCCTCCTTGAGACCTGTTTTCCAATAACCGTGGCGTTTGATGAAAAATTTACAAGACGAAAATCGGAAATGTCAGCAATTTGGAAATAGTTACACTCGTTTCGCAAGCGTGTTTCGATCCGATAAAATAACCGCATGTTAAAAGCTTGATGTTTCGATCGAAAACTCTCCTTTGTACAGGGTGGACACTGGAGTTCCTCAGCGTAACTCAGGGTAACGTCCTCGGCCCACTACTTTAATCTGTATATAGTGCAGATATCCCTTCCCATCACTATACCACTATCCTAACACTGATGGCATTGCCATCCTAACCTCTAATTCCGACCCTGTCCTAGCTAGGGTTAAATCGAAACAAACGATACACCTGGAATCTTCATAATCGACTTAAAAATATAGCACTGAACGGATTATACCGATTACTTAAAAGACTTCTAGACATGAAATCTAACTTCTCCCTTGACAACAAAATACCCATATATAACTAAATACTGAAACCAATATAGGCATACGGCATAGAACTATGAGATGCAACCAAAACTTCCGATCTATGAATAATCCAGGTCCTACGATTACGTCAACGTTCTATGTTTCCACTCGCACCATCCATACGGGATGAAATGTTCCCTTTTTTAAATCGACAACAAAACATTCCACCCTAACCTCCAATCTTCTAATCCCCACGTACAACTTTCCGATCTCTTCCCAACAATCCTTCTCGGCGTGACGACGATAGTGGCTGCACTGCTCTAAGAGGGTGCGAGTGATTAAGCGATTAAAGAGTGCATCACTGGATAGGTTCTCCACTCTATGCCATTTCATTTTCCCCTTTTTCTTTTTCATTATCTCGTTATCTATGTAGCTTATTGATCTTCGCGCAGATTGTTGCTCAATTAATCAATTTTTAAAAAATAGATGGTGAAAGAAATGACTATACACAGAGTGAATTCCTTAACCGTCCCTAATCAACAGGAAGAAAAATCTATCTATCTCACCAAGCAAGAATTAATTAGGTCATTGTACATTCAATTACCACCTTAAAAAAATGGAAAACTGAGAAAGAAACCTGCCCACTCTGCCATGAAACAGCAGGACATGTCCTTTGCGACTGGAAAGCATAAAGCGGGGAACACACCTACCCGATGCACCGCTATGCTACGCTACCCGACGCCTTGCCACGTTTTGGTAGGGTGTGCACATCTATGCGACGTCAAGCGCACGCCACGTACAGTCCACAGCGGGTATCACAATCGCTACGCCACTTTTGTTCTTAATGCATTATTTTGAGCACAACCATGTAATAAATTGTTAGTTAAATTTAATTGTTTTAAATAAAGTTATTCCGGTGTTTTGATAAATTTTCTTCCGAAGCATCATAATTAAATAATTTTTATAAAAACTCATGAATTTTTGATATCGTTAAATTGGGTTTTCATTAAAATAAAAAAGTTTTAGTCAATATAACGATTACATATACATACTTTGAAATAAACTACAAAAAATATGAGTGTCCTGGATTGACATTACTCGACAAAAATGGTGTAATTTTATGAACAAAATCATGAAATACATTGTTAGTTAAATTTTATGAGCAAAACCGTGTAATAAATTGTCAGTTAAATTCATTACATAAAAAAATGTTATTCCGGTGTTTTGATCAATTTTCTAGTTTGTAATAAATATATGAGTGTCCAGTTCTTTTGTCTTCGACTGTACTCGATGCTACCCGACGAAAATCTTGACAGTGGGGATCGCAGAGCGTCGGGTAGGTTAGCGTGGCATAGCATCGGGCAGATGTGCACGAGGGCAATACAATCTTATGCAAAATTGGAATTTATATTTGCGTCGGGTAGCATCGAGTAGCGTCGCATAGCGTTGCACCGAGTAAGTGTGTTCCCAGCTTAAGCCCGGCCAAAGTACAGTCAAGCGAAGAAACGATACCTTTAAATTAGTTAATTGATTTTCGATGTAGCCGAATAAAAATATAAACATATGATAAATAAAAATATATATTGCTATGATACATTTTCAACCATGAGGCCCCATGGTGTAATGGTTATCACTCTGGACTCTGAATCCAGCGATCCGAGTTCGAATCTCGGTGGGACCGAAACTTTTTATTACAACAAATTTTACCGATCAGCTTAAAATTCGATAAAAAAAATATCTCGCGCGTGGTTTCAGCTTAGTACAGAATACAGCTGTTTGTTTGATCTGTTTACTTTTTTACTAGATATTTGTATAACTTTTTGATATTCTGATCAACAACTTTGGGTCAACTATTGATAAAGGAATCTGATCCAGTCGGACCTGGGTCATCTTTACACCACAACTTGTAGCACTTAATGCTAAATGTATCTCAAAATGTTTTAAATCAAATCCAAAAGATAGCAGCACTACATGCCAAAATTTACTTGATCTCCCATTTCTGTGCCATTTTAAATTTTGGTTTAGCAAACACTATCACCTATTTGACATTTTCAAGGTCTAAATGGAACAAACACTACAAGAGTCAATATTCTACAGCGGCTCCCTAACCTCATTAATTAAATGTAAATTCTCAGAAGATATCATCATGCAGGTGTAATTGATATAAATTGAAACTCCAAATCATAAACAAAACAATATTTATTTGGCAAATGAAAAGGGAAACACAAAAGTTAAGTCATTATCACTCTGAACTCGGAATCCATCGATCCGAGTTCGAATCTCGGTGGAACCTAAAGTTTTTAATGCAATCATTTTCGCCGATCAGCATCAATAAACGAATAAATCTTACGCGTGATTTTAGCGTTGTGTATAACACAGTTGTACGCTTTATCTATTCACTTTTTTTTAAGATTTCGGAATTAGAGATTTTTTTAAAAAGCCGTTCAACATTTTGGAACTAACAGAGCAAAATGAATCTGATGCATCTGATTAAATTATACAAGAGAAATTGCAGGGCTTTAAGCTAAATGTGCCCCAAATTATTATGAATCAAATCGAAAAGATAAGAGCTATCCTGAAATTTACTTGACCTCGCCTTTCTGTACCATTCCAAATTTTTCTGTAAACGGATTTATTATCCCTAATATCACAGAATCCATGCTAACTTGTTTACAAAACATTTTAACAAAAAATAAAAAAGTGTATTTTTTACGGAGCGAATAGATTTAAATCATCGAACCTATGATCATATGTGGAATAAAATTGGAAAGGAATATCATACCCCTGAGAATAATTCTATGCTTTAATAAAGAAGCAGAAATTTTCCACAAAAATCATTAGAAGAGGTCGGGCAGAACAAACGAAAGTTTAAATGCGGAGTAAGTCCCTAAGACAAGAAAGAGCATTCCTTGTTCGTATCCAGGCACATCATGGAACTTTAATTGGTAATGAAGGTGAAGAGAGGGTTTGGATGGCTCCAGAGATTCGTTGACAAATGGTTGAAGTCGTTGTGGACAGGTTTGTCTTTTTAACAATATGCTGTATATTCGTTAGATTGGCGCAACCCCACAGTTCCGCTCCGTATGTCCAAAATGGTCTCAATAGTACCTTTTACAGACGTAGTTTAAACGGTCAAAACAGATTTCCGTCCTAAAAGTCTTCTTTGTCGAAGTTTTCTGTTTAGTGCCACTTAGGACTTGTGTGGGTATTCCTCGTCTAGGTTTTAGTCTTAAGTAGTTGATTGGAATTAGTATCTAGAGGTATCACGTCAAATAGGTAGTAGAGAGTCGGGCAGTAGTGTTAGGGAGGTTTGTAAGCGTGGAGTGAAAATTAGTAGAGACGTAGTTAAGAGCTTGTATAATTCGACTGAGGACTTTTTACTAGAATGCTTGGATTAGTGAGATATCAAATGTGTTGGTGGTAACCCATTGCTCACTCTGTCTATATTATCGAAGTATTGTTTTGTTCGGTTCATTGTTAGTTTGTTCTCGAAAGTCATGTCTGATTTCGGCCCTAAAAGCATTTCGGGTTGTCCAACTCTTGTGTGGGCATTCCACGTCAGTCTGCTCTCCATGAATACCTAATGAACTTTGTACTTTGCAGACGACAATCGGAAATGTCAGCAATTTAGAAATAGTACACTCGTTTCGCAAGATTGTTTCGATCCGATAAAAAACCGCATGTTAAAAGCTTGATGTTTCGATCGGATACTCTCCTTTGTACTGGGTGGACACGGGAGTTCCTCAGGGTAACGTCTTCGGCCCACTACTTTAATCTGTATATAGTGCTGATATCCCTTCTCATCACTATACCACTATCCTAACACTGTTGGCACTGCCATCCTAACCTCTAATTCCGACCCTGTCCTAGCTCACCGAACCCTCCAGACACACCAATATTCCATTGACCAACTCCACCTAGGGCTAAACTATGAGCTATGTACTGTTTTGCCACTTTTTGCACCAGTCTTTAATAAGCTCAAATTGTTCTTGGATGTCGGAGGTTCGGTTTAGAAGACGAAATTGCTTTAATATCCGCGTAGGTTTTTTGGTTTACAGGAAAGTATAATTGGTGTAAATGATGGGACTAAGAAAGTTCCGTTGTGGGACGCCGGCTTGTGATTTAAGTGAACCAACAAAATGCCCGACATTTCAATGCCGTCAACGGTTTAAATTATTATTTTTAGTTGGTTTTTTATCCATAAAAAACTTACGGTCTAAACTTTTCAGAAATTCAGCCCAATTCGTCTGCTCGGAGGATTTCCGCTTGGAATGGCGATAGTTTGCCTTTTTGGCCCGTTTGCTCTCCGTCTCTAAGATGATAAAATGAAAGTTGTAATACAAATTGAGCGAAAAAAAAGGACTATCTAAAGGACAATAGTAGTTGGGGGCTGGTGTAACGAAATTATTGCTGTCACTTACTCTCTATTGGTCTGATAGTGATTTCAACCGGGCTCATCGGACGAGAAGGCCCAGGCTGCGAAACGGCCTTGTAAGACTTTTTCGCAACTTTTACATTCTCCTTATCCGTTTCTGAGAATAAAAAGCTCAATTTTTGGATTAAACAAAAAATAGAAAAAAGTAGAAGAGAACATTTTGAAAACATTTGATAAAATCGAGCTTTCTTTTTCTAATTTCTAGCTCGATGGGTTAACTTAAAATTGAAAAAGTCCGAAATTGATTCGTAAATAAATTGAAAATGCTTTGGCTTGTAATTGTTTAAATAAATTTTAAAAAAACAGCAAGTTCACAATTATGTTGTCTCTTTTACACAAAACGTTTGATGAGAACTTGACGCTAAACTTAAAACAAAAAATGTAGTAAATCGACATGAGAAACTTTTGTTTTGAACTTACGATCTACCGGTTGGACTATGATTTCTACCGGGCTCAGTTCGCGAGACGGCCCTGGCTGCTGGTCGGTCTGTGCGGTTTTGTTCGCCTTCTTGGCATACTTCGTGTCTTTCGCTAGGAATTATAGAAAATTTTGTTATGTTTTAATTGAAGTTGAAGAATACAATTTAAAACTGTTGAAGACTTAATAAAAAAAGAGAAACGGACGGTTCCATCACAAAGACTTACGCTCGTGTACAAGTAATTTGTCCTTATTCTGATAAAACGGTCGAGGCTCTTCGACCTCCCTGCTCATTCCTGGTTTTGCCTCGGTTTCCAAATCTGTTCGAAAAAGGTTCAAATGAAATTCCATTTGAATAATTTAGGCGGGGGTTGCAGATTGATGCCAATAGTTTCCTTGGGTTTTTTTACATATGTGTATGTTTGTTTATATGTTGTTCCTACAGTGTTACTCAGAAATCCCGTGAGTTTGGGGGAGGGGGGTTTCAGTGTTGTTCCTACAGTGTTTCTTAGAAATCTCATGAATTTAGGAAGGGTACAGAGTTATTCGTACAGTGTTACTCAGAAATCCCATGAATTTAGGGAGGTTGCAGTGTTGTGCCTACAGTGTTTCTTAGAAATCCCATATGTTTAATGGTCGGGGGGCGTTGCAGTGATGTTCCTACAGTGTTTTTCAGAAATCCCATGAATTTAGGGAGGTTGTAGTGTTGTTCCTACAGTGTTTCTCAGGAATCCCATGAGTTTAGGGAGGATGCAGTGTTGTTCCTACAGTGTTTCTCAGAATTCCCATGAGTTTAGGGAGGATGCAGTGTTGTTCCTACAGTGTTTCTTAGAAATCCCATATGTTTAATGGTGGGGGGGGCGTTGCAGTAATGTTCCTACAGTGTTTTTCAGAAATCCCATGAGTTTAGGGCGAGCGCAGTGTTTTGCAGAATCTGAATTGTTCTAACCAAGTGAAGGGTCGATCAATTGATAATGGGATATTTATAATTCAAAATGTACCAGCACATAAAAGGTCTTTGTTTTGTTTGAAATTCATGAATAATGTGAACATAAACTAAAAAAATAACAAATCTGATTTATGTTTTGTTCTGGATGGTCAGAAATTAATTCCAGAGCCTAATTCCAGAGATGCCAAGCCCTTAAAAATGAAGGGCAAGGCATTTTTACTGTAAATTAACACCTTCTTCTATCTTAATTGGCTGTAAGAATTGTCTTATTAACAACATGCAATGAGTGTCTGTAAGATATTACACAAGGAAATTGTCACATTTGCCCTAAGCCAAAGTGAAGAAATTAGAGTTTTGTGATTAAAACTTACACCCCTTGTGATACGGTAGTCCTGGCTTGAATTGGTTTTTTGGAGGCGCCGGTCGCGTGACATACCCCCGAGAAGATCCTGGATAATAGCCATAAAAAAAACAGCTGTATTTAAGTGAAATCCGGTTAGCGTTAGAGATTAGTGATTTGTTAGTACTTTTGTTTATTGTTAATCTGTTGAATTATAATGTATCATCGGATTGCAATGGACGTCGATTATAAAGTCTTCTTTTAATGGACAGTGGAGGAAGCATAAAAAAATCTTTCAGTTAAAACAAAACCAATCAAAATTTATGATTAATGCTTGTGGTGAGTTTATTTCAAAATTTTTTCCACATGATGCGTGATATCTCAGATGATAACATCATCGCTGAAGTTCAACTTGGTTCGGGTTATGTAGATAGAGTCGATTAGTAGTATGTTAGTCATTTTAATTTTTAGTAAGGTTATTTCCAAAAAGTGTTTTTCACTTACTCGGCTGCATTATGGACTGTAAGTCGGAACTGAAGGCGGGACCGCTATGCATTGAAACGTAGGATGGAGATGCAAAGCTTTCGTCAATCCGTTGTCGATCTAAGTAGAAAGTAGAGAAAATCATTTAAAGATTTTTTTTTAATTTATAGCCCATACATATTAGAACATTAAAAATGTGATAATATTTTTTTCAAACTGTCACAGCACAAAAACCAACTCTGCACCGTGAGGACAATGCCGTGAGAAACCAGCCGATGCTGGTCTGAGAGATTAAAGGGCAAGGAAGTCTCGAGTTCATCGTAGATTTAGGCTACGTGGCGGGTTCTCGGGTTGGGAATGTGTAGAGAGGGCATGAGCCGTAGAGTTAGTATGAGTTGAGAGGTTGGTGTGAAACTTTTGGAAACGGGAACGTATCAGTTCGTTGTCAAAGGGAAAGGAATGCTGTGGTCGTTGTGGATAGTGAGATTAGTGACGTAGTAAGGAGCTTTGAAGATTTTTCTAAGGACTTATGATGGGAAGGATTGGATGGCTTGGCAGAACCTACAACTCCGAATGTCCAAAGAGGTAGTAATTTCTTGAATAAGGTTAGTTTAGAGTTGACGATCAAGACTGATTTCAGTCCTAGAAGTCTTAGTAGTTGTCCAAGTTTTCTGTTTAGTTGTCACATAATTCTTGTGTGGGTCTGCTGTCTAGGTTTAGTCAGTATTTGACTGAAATTAGAACCTCTTTAATATTGATGTACAGTGGAGGGCAAGGCTGTTTTTTCCATGTGAAAGTATAATGAGTACATTTTTCTTTATTCAACTTTACTTTCTACACTTGCACTAGCCTTCGATAAGATGTTGGGGTAGCTTAGATAGGAATCGATTTAGAGCACGAAATTGTGGTATCGTTCGCTAAGGTGTTGATGGTATTAGGATGTTATAGGTGGATCAGCAGTATAAACGATATAAAAGATGGAACAAAGAATGCTCCCTTGTGGGACGCCAGTGTCTGTCTGACATCCGTCATCTCGAGCTGCCGCACCTCGCTCTGAAGCAGTGGTTCGTTACACAGGATTTCAGGATACGGTAATAAGGAGTGGGTTGGAAGCGTTTAAGTTTATAAAGCATCCCCGGTGCCACACCCTATGAACAGCTACTTCTAGGAAAGTACCAAAGCAGTATTCTTTATTCTCTAGAGCAGAGGAGATCAAGTGAGAGTGTCAACAACTCGGAAACCTTGTTGAATCGTGGAACGTATTAACGTTTTTTCATATTTTGCATAAAAATAGGTTACACCTCTGGCACGAATCACGTCCGTTAAATGCCTTTGCATTGGAAAATGTTTCTGATAAAATTCTGAGGAATCTTTCACATTATCAAGAACAGCCGTTTCCAACTCTTCTAGGGTGTTAAGATCTGGGTTTCGCCTTCGTACTCGTCGCTTAAGTTGATCCCAAATGTTTCTTTTGGATTCAAATCAGGACATCGAGCTGACCACACCAAGCACTCAATCGAATCTCATCCAAAATACATGCTCTATGGGGCATTATCCTGCGTTAGCAAGAATCTCTCACCGAAGTGGGGGGCAAATGGCACTACATGCTCTTCAACTATTCACCTTGGAATGCCACCTGAGAAACCGTACAGCATGAGGCCTTTACTTTTCTCGTAAGCGTCTCCATATGAAATAACGCCCATATGAAGACTTGAGTGAAGACAACTCGTCCCCAATCTTCCGATGACCAATTCACATTCCCATGGGATTTGAAGCCAGGCTATTTTCTGAGCTGTGGTAAGACCAGTTCCACGCCTGATTACGGATGAATCGATCGTCTTTCTCGTCTGTAGACCTAGATCGACCCTTCCCTGCGTTCTGGTGTGATGCCCTGCTCCTCTGAATCGCCGAAAACCCCGTCCTATTGTAGAATGATTTACGCTCATCCTTCTGGCGACTTCGCCCTGGCTGTATCCTTTCTCTTATGACATTATAACCCTAACACTGTCATCCTCGGTCAAATGCCTGAGTGGGCTATTGAAAAAGCTTTAAGAATAAGAATAATATCAAATGAAATCGACGAAGAAAAAAGATTAACTGAAAACGATCTTTCGGCCTAGCAGAATAGAAGGGGATGCTACTTTCGTTGCAAATGGGATTAATTCGTACAAAAGTAAATAAAGGAAGTAAACAAAACATTATTTATGTTTAATTTGTTCTACGATAGCTCCTAATTACCCGTAACAAGAAAAGATAATAGTAGAAAGATAATGGATTTAATTTTCAACTAAATAAATTGAGTGGAGCATCAGTATCATCTCTGTGCATCAGTATAGTTCTCTCAAATATCGGCTCATGTAATATTATTCAATTTGTTAAGAAAGTGACAAAAAGAGGGTCATTATAACCATCTGATCATTTCGCAAATGGGAAATTCAATTTAAGAAATAACCCATTTCGTGGCCCGATCAACCAAATAACTTCTTTCAATTAATTAATCTTTATGTAAGGTATTGGTTGAAAGAAAAAAGTTAGTGTCACGAGCTTGATTCGAACCCACGACCTTCGGCTCAATACGCGGCTGCTCTAACCACTTGAGCTATCGTGACCTCGATACACTCGGACACCAACTTCCCACCTCAACCTACCTTTCGAATTTGGTACGGTAATTTGGTTCGAATGATAATTTGGTGTCCGAGTGAATCGAAGTCATGATAGCTCAAGTGGTAGAGCAGCGGCGTATTTAGCCGAAGGTAATGCGTTCGAATCCCGCTCGTGGCACTAGTTTTTCAACCAGGCACCTTAGATAAAAAGAATAATTCATCGGACTAATTAATATGGTCAATTGTGGCATTGTCATATTGCTGAAAGACCCGGATTTGAGTATCATAACAGAACACTGATCGAAAGACTGATTTAAATTAATTAATTATACATTTTATCTAAGGTGTCGGCTGAGATAAAAAAGTTAGTGTCACGAGTGGGTTTCACACCCGTGACCTTTGAAAAATGGCAAAAAGGACACAAGGAGGTTGGTGTCCGAGCGGATAGAAGTCACGATAGCTCAAGTGGTTAGAGCAGCCGCGAATTGAGCCGAAGGTCGTGGGTTCGAATCCCGCTCGAGACGTTATTTCATTTCAACCAATACCTTACATTAATTAAGAAGTAACATGATATATTCAAAAAATTCCTCGTTATTAAAGTATTTACCATTTCTATTCGATATAACTTTAATATCTGACAGGGGAGAGTAAGGGCTAGCCAGTATGTTATCTATTTTAATATAATCAGTACATAATAATTTGGTTACAGAGCAATGTAGCAAAGTGGATTGAAATATTTTTTATCAGGAAACAATATTGATATTCAATTTCTACACCCCGAAAAACCCTTGATAAAGATTTTTGGGGAAATCAAAGAAAATTTTTTTTCGCTTTCTAACAACTACGCTGACCTGCAGGAATCTTTTCAAGGCTGCTACAGCTTATGACCTACACATAATGGGACAAACTCGGACTCTGAAAAAAATTATTATTGGTGATATAAATTAAAACGTTTGGAGAGTTTTTGTTGATTTCATCCGCTTTTCTCATTTATGCATTGCATTCTCGACACGACACGCAAGAATGGCACAATTACACAGAAGACAAACACTTTGAGCTCTGAAGATGATCTCAATAAAGATCGAAACGTTGGCACGATAAAGAAAATGTTTTTCTGAAACCTACATCACACCAGACCGCATCTCACGATTTCTGAATAATTCTCATTTATAATTATATAAAATGTAAACATTGTTGGGATAGGATGAACGTAGACAAAATTAAGGTTTCCAACGATTTTATAAGCTGAATTTGCATAAAATCCGGAGGTGTTACGAATTTTTAATTGGAAAAAGTGAACACTGTTTTCCTTTTGAAAAGTTTAATTACATTTCTTCTTAATTTATCGATAAAACCCCAGTAATTAAAATAAAGTTTCATGATAAAATTCCTTTTCGTTGATAAGGTTTTTTTTTTTAATAAAAGAACAATGCCTTTTTTTGCAAATCTAATCCAAAAGTTCTGACTCGGAGGGAAATATTTCTAAAGCTTACTCATTCTCAGCTGATAAAGCTAAATAAAAGAGCTCGGTGAGACCATCTGGAGAGAACGGAAAAAAGATTGCTTCGATTGATCCGGTGGGGCTCGAACGAAAGCTAGACCACGCTGATTTCATGACCTCTATGATGACCTTACCGATTTGGGTGTGCGACTTTGGAAAGCAAAGACTCAGACAGGAATGAATCGGAGAAACTTGTGATCGTGGGCTGGGTCAGTTAGGACCGAAGTGCCAACAGAAGTAGTCGACTGTGTATGGAGGAGGCACATCCAACAGAGCAAATCCTACGCATCTGCCCTGCAATAGCTTCGAAGAGGTTATTATACCTAGAAAAGCAATTCTTGATCAGTACCCCTGAGAAGAATTATGTTCTTTATTAAAGAAGGTTTACTTTTCTTCTCGGAAAACCGTTAGCAGAGATCGGTCAGAACAGACGAAAGTTTAAGCTGGAAAGGGAATAATAGATTGGTTAGCACGACGGACTCATATTTGCTAAGTAGATCTCGTGTGTTAGAATCCCCGACATGGACGTTTAATCTGTAAAATGTAAAATGGGATGGGAATAGTTGTTTTCTAAACATTTGGGCTTACAAGTTTCGACGGCCAAAACAGACTGCTGTCCTAAAAGTCAGTTCTCCCTTTCTCGGGCATTCCAATCTGCTTGATCGGTGGAAGAGAAAGCTTGAGCATTAGGGTTAGGATGGGTTAAAAGATCGGAGGTTAGAGACGTAGTAAAGAGCTTGGATTATTTTTCTGTGGATTTTTGAATGGTATGCTTGGATTAGTTGGATACCAGATCTCTTGGTGGTAACCCATAGCTCACCTCTGTTTTATAGGTCCAAGTTTTGTTCAGTGTTAGTTTGTTCTTGAAAGTCATGTCTGATATCGGTCCTAAAATTCTTCCTTAGTTTGGCCTGTGTGGGGATTCCACGACGGTCTGCTATCCACTTGTAGGCCTAAGTATCATACTTCAGTGGAAATCAGTAGTTTCTTGTCGCTTGTACAAAAAAGTTCAAAAT